TTTTTTTTTCAAACAAACTTTCTTCTCCAAAACGTTGTTAAGTGATTTCTAACTCATTTTCTTCACTCCTTAACATCTTTTAACATGATTTCAACTGCAAATCAATAATTTTCATGGAAAAATTGGGTGTTTTGGGTAGAACCTACGTTTTCAAAAATTAGGGATTTGGACCTCAATTTGAGGTTCGATTTCAAAAAAAATTATATATTTGGGTTCGTGGGGGAATGGGTAATCGGGTTTTGGTTCGAACCTCGGGTTTTGACCATGTGGTCCCAGGGGCGATTTTTTGACTTTTTGGGTAAAACTTTAGAAAACTCATTTTTATGCATTCAAATTGATTCATTTAGCGTTTATTGATGTAATTAAGTAACTTGTGACTAGATACGAGCGAATTGGTGGTGAAATCAAGGGGTAAAGCTATAATTGAATCGTGAATTGTGTTCGTGGCATCGAGGTAAGTGTTTGGTCTAACCTTAGCTTGAGGAATTAGGAATTGAGTCCTATTTGCTATGTGATAAATGTTAAGTACGACGTATAGGCATAGTGACGAGTATCTATACGTTGGTGTCAAGCATGCCCGTGAGTCTTATTTATGATTTTCATGACTTCGTTGTATTATCCATGCTTTAGAGTTGATTTCTAATTGTTGTGAAAAGTTTGTGGAAGGAATTGTGACTTTTGAACATCGAGGAGCATTGGCTCAAGTTATATTACGAATTGTGAAAGTATATGAGTTGATTGAACCCTTTGGAGCATTGGCTCAAATGGTAAAGTGAGTTGTGAAGTAAAAGTGAATAAGAGAAAGAAGTTATTAAATTGTTCCCTTGCCTAAATTGTTCCCTTGCCGAGATATTGTTGCTTTATTGGTTATATCCCTTGCCGGGATGTTGATATTATTGATGTTGCTCCCTTGCCGGGACTTAATTGTTGAATTGTTGTTCCCTTGTCGGGATTTCTATTATAATCTTATTTATTTCCTTGCCCTATTGTTTGTGATTGTTGTTTGGGTAAGGAAGAGTGTTAAAGCACGAAAGGTGATGCCGTGTATTGTTTGTTTTGTGAGGAAAGAGTATAAAGCACCAAGGGTGATGCCGTGTATTATTGTGAGGAAAGAGTGTAAAGCACGAAGGGTGATGCCATGCCGCACGATGTACCATTCCGTGCCGATTTTATTGATTATATAGTGAGGAAAGACAGTAAAAGCACGAAGGGTGATGCCGTGCACACTTTTATTATATAATTGCTTGGGTGAGGACGAGAGTAAAAGCACGAAGGGTGATGCCGTGCAATTGTTGATTTCTGATTCTTTGTTGATATCCGAGTTATGTTGTTCTTTAATTACTTGATGTCTTTCTATTCGGAATTGTTATCTCCCCCACAACATGTTTCCCCTCCCATATTGACTGGTTATTTTTGTATTTCTTTCCGCTGTATATGTATTTGAATTGCACAAGTTATTTGGTAGTCTGGTCCTAGCTTCGTCACTACTTCGCTGAGATTAGGTTAGACACTTACCAGCACATGGGGTCGGTTGTGCTGATACTACACTCTGCACTATGTGCAGATCCCGGAGCATCTTTTGGACCATAGTGTGGAGGCTACCTTCAGTCCACGCGGAGATCTAAGGTAGACCTGCAGGCGTCCGCAGGCCCTGGCGTCTCCCTCTATCCCTATTTTTCCTATTTCATTTTCCTTATATTCCGGAACAGTGTATTATTATTTCTTCAGACTTTGTATGTAGTAAATCTTAGATCGTCTGGGACACTGTGACACCAGATTTTGGGTGGTTGAGACTTAATTAATTGTAATAGACGCAGATTTCAGATATTTAATTGTTATCTTCCGCTTAATTATTTAAAGTTTCGTTGTTTTCATGTTATCACCTTGTATTTGTTAAAAAGAAGTAATTTGATAATGAAGTAAGTAGTTAAGGATTGACTTACCTAGCTCTCATTAGTAGGCGCCATCACCACTCCCGAGGGTGGAAAATTCGAGTCGTGACATACAGTGAGAATATAGTTACTTTCTTTGGGTTAGCAGATGCTTCCGGCATGCTTTGCAATATATTGCATATGAATTATATTTTTATGAATTTCAAGTTCATATTATCTTCGAGGGTCTAGAGGTACAAATGATAATTCATTCTACATAACTTTTTTCAACTGTTTATCATGTCTCCCCCTCATATTAGAAAAACTAACTTGCTTCCTCAACTTTGGCCTCACCATTGTGCGTTAGGTGTTAATCAAAATATACACCGCACATCAATAGTAATAAGATGAAATTATTTGATTCTTGACCATGAACCTTTTGAAAGGGGAGAATGTAATATACTTTCGTATATAACTTATATCAAACTGATATAGATAACTTTGTTCTTATAAGCAACAATTTAGCTATTAAGTGGAGACACTCAATAAATTATTTTGCTAAACCAGTTGTGATGTAAATCAACTTATCAAGATATACTATCTTGAATAGAAAATCTAGAAATTATGCTCTAAATTAAATTATTGAGCAAGTTACCTTGCAAACACCAGGTTGCGGGTTAATAATAATCGTACATGTAACCATCTCATAGATGCATCTTATGTGGTATACATGGCATGTGAATGGGCACATGTTCACCTTTGATATTTCCAGTGTTCATGGGATTCAAATCCCAATTTTAGTTGGTTTATTAATTAATGAGAACAAACAATAATGAGTGTTGTATAAATAATGTTATTTTTTTGCACATCATACTTAAATTAATATGGCTAAACGAGTTATGCCAACTGGATAAATTATCAATATTGATAAAGTTCACGTTTACACCATGACATGTGCAATTATCAATAAACTCTAAGTTTATTATGATGTGAGTTTCTATATTAATAAACATCCAATTTACTACATCATGTAATTTTACCATATTCTTTATTTGTGTAGTACAAATCAGGCAATAAAGCGGGTAGTTTTTATATACATATTACCCCGCTACAGTTGTAATAATATAAAGATATTAAATCTTTTGATTATTTATAGTTTTAATATAACCAACCACTTCCGCGACTTTAGAAACTCAATAAATTTTTCTAAGACTTACTACAACAGAGTACCTTATTGATAATTAATTTTATTCCTCAAAATAATAATAACTGGCTCTTCAGAGCTCTCAATTAATTTGGTATTACCACATATTCATCAACATCCATATAGTAAATATCTCTTTTAAAGAGAAAGTTATATCATTATGGTCATGGTCAAAATTAGATGCAAGATCTGTTTCTTGCATTACTGTTATCCTTTAATAATCACATTACTAAAATATTTTGGCGTAGGTACGTGACCATTGACCATTCATGCCATAATAATAACATTATTTTCTTATATCATCTCAAACCTCCTTCTAGATGTGAGTGTTGTATATTCACTACCACTAGTATGTTCATATTATTCCAAGAATGAACATGTATTCATAAATCACATGTTGTCACATTCACATCACGAATGGACCATAATTATCTATTTGTGCTTTACAAAATCTCATGTCAAATTGATGATAAATATTACTTTCACATAGTGAAAGATTATTCTGAGAATCCTTATTGTTCTCATTACCACAATGATGATAATTATAATTTCGTCTATTGCCACATCTCATCTATTATTATCTTCACGGTAATAATTTTGTCTTCTTTCAGATTTATCAAATTGCTATCACATCCTCTTACGGGAATGAAAATGAAGCAAATTCAATGGGACGAGTTTTCACTTCTTGTGCCCATAGCTATACATGTATTTGATCTTGGCAAGACATAGAAATTTTATCACTTCGGGTAGTTATAATTTATCACAAACTCTATTAGAGTTATAATAAAAATTTATTATCTTTACTTGTATTTAAAATCAAATTATAGAATTTAAAAGAGAAAAATAAGATAAAATACTTACCTTAAATCCAGAATAGAGAATTTATTCCTGAATAAAGTTTATGAAACAATTGACAATCATCATGCTCAATATTATATACAAGTTGAGCACCATGTGCATATCCCAAATTAAAATAACTGCCCTCTGCTCGATTGGTTAGAGTCTCGTACTGATAACGTGTTATAAAACAATAAAAATGAGAAAAGTGTATTGCAGAGAAAAGTATATATAGAGAATTTTATTGATTTAGGATCAATTACAGTGGAATATAACTCCTCTATTTATAGAGAAAAGTGACTTAGCCACCAAATAATAATACCTAAAATCTCTCTAAAATATAAACATTTACCTTAAATATAATTCTATTTATAACATATATTTTGTTATATTGGATTAAATACACATGATTTTTGAAATCTTGGAGGATTATTAGAACCTTGCGGACCATTTTAGTAAAGGTAATCACTTAAAAACCAATTTTGATCTTTTCCTCTAATTTGTTCATTTATATCAAGGATAACTACGAATAATAATATACGAATTATTATGCGAGTAAAAATATAAGGATTATATATAGTGATTGCCTCTTTAGATAATCATTGATATACATAATATTATTCACAATTTATAACACATGCAGTAATATTGATGAAAATAATATGCTAACATATAAATTTTGGGTATGGATATTTATTAATAGATAAGGTTTAAATATTTGCACCAAAATATTAGTTTTCTGGTGTCATACATTGATTAGTCTGTTTAAAAAATATATATTATAATTTCTTATATAAAAATATTTTAAGTTTGAAAAGTTTTAGTTTTACGAGGGAGTAGTTTTCTAGAAATCTTTATTTTCAATCAGTTTTAACGCAAAATGTCATGTTATATGAGTCGAGTATTAGCTTCATAATTAAATTATTTATGAATACGAGAAGTCATTTTACTTAATTTGCATACTATTATTATTTATTTTTAAAAAAATATTTTCTTCCTTGTACCAAACACACCCTTAGTTTTGTATAATTTGATATGGATGTTTTCCATCGTATATAAGAACCTCCATCTGACTGAATATAAGAAGTGAGAAGACTTGGGGTCTTGCAGAAGCATAGAAAGCGTGCTACATAACTACACTCTGTCGCTAAACCTTTTATCGAAGTAATCTCATACGCATTGAGTTCGCGTTTGATTCAAATGGAGCTCCTTCGATCGAACCTCCCTCGTGTTCGAATTCCTGAACCAACAAATCGTATCTTCAAGCACGAATGCTGCATTTCTTTTGATACTCCCGTAATCTTTCTAATTACTTGTTTTTACTCTTCGAGCATTTGTTTTCTCTCTCATTTTAGTTCATTTCATTTGTTTCTTATCTGGAGATGATTTCTTTTGTTTTTAGAGTTAGTTTGAATCGTCTGCCTAAGTTTTGATGATTGTTATTGGCTTCTGCTATTTGATTGTTTTACCTTGTTGGGTTTATCATTTGTCTGCTAGGGTTTATGACTAATCTTTGGAGTTAAATTGGACTATATTAATTCATTTTTGCGGTAAAAAATTGAACTTCAGTTATTCTGAAACTGTAGGAAGTGTACTATAAGTTGCCGTTCTCTTCGTATAGAAAATGGTAAAAGATATATCTTAAAATTGGATTAAAGTTATGTATGCTGATAGTGTAGTTCTTTTACACTACCGGTGAATTTTAACTTGTGATAGCAAATTAGTTACCATTTTTAACAGATTATCAATTAATGCTTATCAAGAGATTTACGTGTAATTACCTAATAAATGACATGATTGTGTAAGGATCTTTTACACCTTCAGTGCATAGAAACTATACTCTTTAACATGTTGGTCAAGATAAACTTGATTTGAATATTGGGAACCTAAAATGCCAAACATTTTGGACAGAGGGAGTACTCTTGATATATTTTGCTTGGTTAAGCTACTAAGGCAGCTAAATAGGTACAATGCCAACATTGGATTCATTACCTTTATCTTTAGTATTTGAATTCGTTACTGTTTTCAGTTGGAAATATATAATCCGCTATTGAAACTCTGTTAAGCTATTAGTATTGATTTAAATACGATTGTGATTTTTCTGATGCAACATTTACTTGACGTTTTGTCAGAAATCTGAGGGCGGGCTGTTTGTTGATATGAACACCTTTCTTGCATTTGGAAGGGATTATGTAGGTTGGAACTACGAGAAGACTGGGAACCCAGTTTATTTGCACATAAAGCAAACGAAGAAGACAATTGCTGAAGATAGACCATCAAAAAGACCCACGCTTTTGGCTATAGGTAGTAAAAATTTACAAGTCATATGAGTTGAATGCACCTTACCACACAAATTTTGATGTATAATTTGGTTATGTCTTCCCGTTTCCAGGTATTGATGGAGGGTTTGATAATAGTGATCCCCAGTATGAAGAAAGCTATGAAATTGTTATATTGCCGGATTACATAGCCCTTCCTTTCCCTTCTGTGGAGTTGCCTGAGAAGGTAACCTTTGCAATTAAATTCTTTCAGAAGCGATGCATTTTTATAGAGTATGCTATACACTAAATATGGTTTAACATTTTTACTTCCATATCATTCCAACTTGCAGGTAAGGTTGGCTGTTGATGCTACTTTAATGGCTGAAGCTGCTGAAAGGAAAGAGCAAGTTGCTTCATGGACTGCTGACAAGAAGCTTGTCAGTAAATATGCCATGGATCTGCAGCAGCTCGACAATGGTGTTGTTGTTCCTCCAATGGGTTGGAAATGTGCCAAGTGTGACAAGACCGAAAATCTCTGGCTGAATCTAACCGATGGATCTATCCTTTGTGGTAGGAGAAATTGGGATGGAACTGGTGGTAATGACCATGCCATTGACCACTACAAAGAAGCTGGTTACCCCCTTGCCGTAAAGCTAGGGACCATAACTGCTGATTTGGAGGGGGCAGGTAATGCCATCTTTTTGTTTTGAAGAAGGTAACAGATTTTTTATAAATAATCAAAAGAGTAACCCTTAACACAAAGACTGTGCTAAGAGAAACATAGTTACAGGAGCCCCCCAAAAGCAAAAACCCAGTCCTGCAATATTTACAAGGACCCAATGATGTCAACTACTGATTATACATCTTCTACTAGGGCCTCTTTACCCGGAAGTTCATCTTCTGTTCAGAGTTAGCTACATCTTCAAAACAACTTGAATTTCTCTCCCTCCATATTGTCCACCAGATACTTTTAGGGATAATTCTCCATCATCTCTTATGTCTCTCAATGTTACCTGGATCATTCCAACGTGCTAACAAGTAACAACTCAGCAGTTTTCCTAGGCATTGTCCATCTGAGTCCTCATCAAGAGCTGCCACAGAGTACTGGTAACTCTGTAATGGAGAAACAAGTAATGCCATCTTATATATAAATGATCAGAAGTTGGTTATCAGAACTTGTGGCTCAACTCCTTTCCGTTTTTGAATTTTCTTGTGTAGATAGGAAGTTTTGATTTTTTCATAGTCGAGTATTACTGGTTTATTTCTAAGCACAACAATCATTTGTAATGCAGATCTGCCTTATGGATTACTGAACAACTATTTTCTTTATGTTCAGTCAACTTACTCTTTGTATCTTTCAAGTCTTAATTCAGGGTGAGGGAGATGTAACTTACTCTTCAAATATGTCAATCGTTTTGGATAGTAAGGAAAGGCTGCCTGAACTGTTTGATTTTGGTCATTTTTTTATTTTTGTTTTATGAAATTTCAGTTTGGTTTCGTGAGAGGCTTCTAAAATTCGTTCACTTAGTAACCAAAAACTAACAGGCTCTGGATTTTAAAGAATTTGTTCACTCAGTGGCATGGTAGTCATTTGAGTTCCCTAGATATTGGAAGTGGGGTCCAGTGGTTTTGTAGTCTAAAACTGTCTCTTTCTTGTTCCTTGTCAAAAAGTTGTCTTTTCTTTGTTTTGGTCATTTTCTTGGACATGTCTACCTTTACAATGAGCAATGTCAATTCAGAGAAGTAGAATTGAAGAGTATCAGAATATCGTCCTATATCTTACTTGTTGAACCAAAAATAGAGTGGGCACAAAGTTCATGTAGAGTGGCTAATTCCTGCATCTTTCAATATGCCATGGTTTATGGGAATACAACAACAAATCTAGCGTAATCCCACAAGTGGGGTCTGAGGAGAGTAGTGTGTACGTTGACCTTACTCCCGCTTTGAGAAGATAGAGAGGCTATTTATGGAAATAGAAACACATTAATGTTAGAATGACACGATTGTGTTGTGGTTCTGTATCTTTACAAGTTCTTCGGTTTCTCCACTCTAGAATCAAGTAGATCTCCTGATTGTTTACCTTGGAACAATTTTTTTATAACCGTGGCGTCCGGGCCAGTTTGTGCACATCTCGACTAATTCCACGAGATACTTGTTACCTCCAACCAACAACAGGTACCAGGTAACTCTATCCATGAAGACTGGATAGATGAAAAGAAAACACCTAATGTTTTTGTCTCTGTTGGGATTCGAACCTGAGACCTTAAGTTCTCAACCTTGGAACAATTATTAATTGTCATATATACGCTTTGGATGGACATGTCCTTCATTAGTATGATAAATATCATGGTTGTGAATATGGCCCTGTAACTCAACTATGCTGGATTCTTTACTACATCAATGATGTCCCCTCATTTTACCATGCTTAAATGTCATTTGGCTTGAGTTAATACTAACCAGTTGCAAAGTTTGGCAGCTCAGATGTTTTCTCCTACCCAGAGGATGAAAGTATTCTTGACCCACTTTTAGGACAGCATCTGGCACATTTTGGTATCGACTTCTCATCATTGCAAAAGGTTAGCAGCTACTGTATTCACTCGTAGAAAAAGTGTGTATAACTTGTATTAACTAGTTTCGCTACGTATCAAGCTTCCGTGTGGAATAGCCATCTTAATTGGGCCTTCGACTGAACTCAACTCCAGTAGTGTCTGAGGTGGCTTAACTCATACGCAGACCTAATCTAGCAAGTTTCCAACTAAGACAGTGATAATCTTTTGCTTACTAATGATTATTTTTCCTGCCTGTAAATTTCTTTGATTCTTTTCCCCTGTAATAAAGTTTGTTCTCTTTGTTGTTTCAAGTTTACTTAGAATTCTCCTCTGGAGCTATAGTTGTTGTGTGCATAATGGTTCCTGGCACTAGCATATTGTGCTGTTACTGATGCAAAGTTACGATTGCTCCAATTCTTCTTCTTATAGATAGTGTGATTCAACATTGTTCTTTTGATTAATTATATTTTCAGACGGAAATGACTACTGCTGAAAGAGAACTTGACCAAAATATTAATTATGATTGGAATCGTATTCAAGAAACTGGTCAAGATGTTGAACCACTTTTTGGACCTGGTTATACTGGACTAGTCAATTTGGGTAATAGGTGAGTTGGCCAATGTAGCCGTTGTTTATGTTTATTTTCATATGTCTTGTCTCATTTTATTCTTTTTCAGTTGCTACTTGGCCGCGACAATGCAGGTTGTATTCTCAATGCGTCCCTTCTGTTCTCGGTGAGATTATTGTTGTGATAAATGTCTTTGATGTAAAATGGCATTGAAGTTCGTTTCCACGTAATTCTACTTTATAGTTTTAGCATTTCCCTTCTTATTTGGGTCTTATCATCTGATGTGCAACACCCACAGGTACTATGTGGAGCAAAGTCTCAAAGCAGCTTTCAGTGTGGCTCCTGCTGATCCTACTGTAGACCTTAACATGCAGCTGTGAGTAACTTGCATTTGTTCATTTTTCTGGTTCACCATTAGTTCTCAACCAACGAGATTTCTTAGGTGGTCTGCACTGCTTAACAAATGACATCATCTTCGTTACGCTTTTACTAAGTTATGCTTATATTTCGTATTATATTTGGAAGCTAACCAGTAACCATTATGTAGACTGTGTATGTTCAAACTGAATCATGTCCTTTCTCAGACTCATGTAGTTAACAATCTAGGAAACCTGTGGAATACATGCTTATTCTCAGCCAAGAATCTTCCTTTAAATGAATGATAACCACCCACCTTGTTATGGGCAAGTGAATGAACAAGATGTAAATCTGTGAAATGAATTTCTGACTGATCTTTGTAATATACACGAAGCTTCTTTTCGTGCTCATTTTTGTAGTGAGCCGTAATTCTTATTAGGGTTACCAAAATATTAGGTTCTAAAGGGAGCTTCTTCAATCTTGTCCTTGCCAATTATACATTTTAAGCTATAGTTTCCAAGGCTGAAGTCTGAACTCCTTTAGCCTCAATTTACTGATTTTATTTCTCACTCCCACATCACCAACTTTATCACTCCACGTCGTTCTCCCTTTTCCTTACAAGAACCTCAACATGTTGTACCCAAGGATACGACGTAGTGGCTAATGAAGTGAGTGAGAACCATGAGGTCCTAGGTTCAAATCCCAACACAGGCAAAATCACTAGGTGATTTCTTCCCATTTGTCCAAGCCTTGGTGGATAAAGTTACCTGGTACCTGCCGCTGGTGAGAGGTGGCAGGTATTCCATGGAATTAGTCGAGGTGCGCGCGAGCTGGCCCGAATACCACGATTATCAAAAAAAAAAAAAAGGAACCTCAAAACATGCTAAGGTTTAACAACACAGGCATGAAGAATAAGGTATGACATGAATAGTTCTAAAGCTTGTCCTCGAATGTTTAGGTTAGGAAACCTTTAACAATGTAGATAATGTGAACATATATGTTACCTATCAAAGACAAATGTACATATCAACTACGGAGAATTTAGAAACCTAACTTAGTGGAGGCAAAGTCATATTAAGCAATGCACTATTAATCGTGTATAACCATCAGTGGAATGAAATAATGTCCATTTTTTAATAAGTAAAGCTTGATGGAAGAGGTAAAACAAATAAAACGTGGAATGCAAAAATGTCCATTATATCCTATAACTTTTAGTAAATATTTTAAAAGAATTTGCACCCAAGGGTTTGGCATAATGGTCAATGAAGTGGGTTGAGAACCATGAGGTCTCAGGAAATTCCAGTGGAGGCAGAACCACTCGATGATTTTTTCCTATCTGTCCAAAACTTGGTAGACAGAGCTACTTGGTATCTGTGCTGGGAGGTAGCAGGTACCCCATAGAATTAGTGGAGGTGCATGCAAGCTGGCCCAAACACCACAGTTATAAAAAAACAAAAAGGAAAAAATGAAGAATTTCTATGGTGGATTCCTTTTATTTTAATTTCGTGATGCATTCGAATCATTGAAATAGAAATACGTAAAAAGGTAAAATTATATCAATCAATCAATCCCTGATTGGTTGTGTCGGCAAAAGATGCAAGCTAAGGACTTCCCAGGGGACCATCCATCTTAGTCGTCCCAAATCATTTAAGTTGATGTTGAAACAAGAGTATATAAAGTTGAAGTTGAGCAAATGTTTATGGAAGGCGACATTATGTTTGGACGTGAACTTCACTTGGAACAACAATTTTTGAAAGTTGAGATTTGTGACTGAGAACCAGTATTCACATGAAACACTCCTTTATACCAGTATTTCAATATTTCGTTTAAAGTTCATAAATTGAAGGTTCAGCATTAGAGTTGTAAGTTAGGAGGAAGTCGAGCGTTTTTCTACTTTGTACCAGGGGCGGGGCTAGGCTGAGGGTGTTTCGCCTTGGGATGTTAGTGGTTTATGTAGTTTCCACACTATTTCTGTTTTTTTCTTCATAGTTCTATGGCATTATTACTGGTTATTGTTAATTGTTATTGCTTTTCCATCTATTTTCTGTCTCTTACGATGTTGATATTATTTTTTTTGGCTTTTGTTGCTGTCACACATCTATTGTTTATTTTCGTCTTCTTGAGCCGAGGGTCTTTCGGAAACAGCCTCTCTACCCCTCCGGGGTAGGGGTAAGGTTTGTGTACACTCTACCCTTCCCAGACCCTACTTGTGAGATTTTACTGGGATGCTGTTATATGTCAAGCCCAGATGGGCCTGGAGTATCTGACATCTTTCTGTGTTTACCTTTGGGGGAGGGACGCTGGCGTGGCTTGTAATTGCCCAAGTTTAAGTCTGTGCGTACCATGAGTGTGTTTTCCTTGTCTTCCCTCCCCCCC